GCAGCTGAAATAAGGCTGAAAAAAACGGCTGAAAAAAAGACTAAGTCCCATCGCCGAATGGGACTTAGTCTCTGCAGCTGAAATAAGGCTGAAAAAGACGGCTGAAAAAAAGACTAAGTCCCATCGCCGAATGGGACTTAGTCTCTGCAGCTGAAATAAGGCTGAAAAAAACGGCTGAAAAAAAGACTAAGTCCCTTAAGCCGAATGGGACTTAGTCTCTTATGAAATAATTTCCATTTACTGAACCAAATAACAGGAAAGACTGAGCACAAAAGTTTGCACCAGGTCTGGGGACACAGGGGACACCGTCGCCCAAGGGGTAAGAAAAATTGGCTCCCCAACAAATCGTCTAGAGGGACACGACGCTTAAAAGGCAGATGTCCCAATCTTCTGATGTCCCAAAAAAGGTGTTTAAGGGGCCAGCACCAGTCACATAAGTCCATAAGCCCCAATATACGACAGTCTTAAAAGTGCTACACCAAATAAAAGTGCATACATTTTCCTGCAATCTCCAGGGGGCCGCCTTAGTCTCATGCGGGAGGAGGCTGTAAAGGGCTTCAACCCAGAAACAGACGTTGCCATTTTAAAGGGCCGATTACAAACCTTAGTTTGTAACAAAGGTGTCAATCCATATCTGCCAAGTGACCCTATGTAGGGGGACCAGTCTCTATTCTGCTCTGTGTCCGTGTGCATCAGGGGCTCTGAGGACAGGTGTCAATCCATATGTCAAGGTGTCAATATGTCATATATCAGGTGTCAATCCATATTCATTGTGATTTAGGAATGTTAGGTGATTTCTGCCCTTATGGATTAAAACCAGACTCTGTATCAACTGTGTAATTTTCCATGGGAGTTTTGCCATGGATCCCCCTCCGGCATGCCACAGTCCAGGTGTTAGTCCCCTTGAAACAACTTTTCCATCCCTATTGTGGCCAGAAAGAGTCCCTGTATGTTTTAAAATTCGCCTCCCCATTGAAGTCAATGGCGTTTCGGGCGGTTCGCCGGTTCGCGAACATTTGCGGAAGTTCGCGTTCGCCGTTCGCGAACCGAAAATTTCGGGTTCGCGACATCACTAGTAACATAGCATAGAGTAAAGAAAATAAGGAATTTTCATCTCAGAGCAATTCCTCTTGTGTACTAATAAGTAGATAGGCTGATAAAAGGTGAGTGCAACATATAACACTTAACGAGGAAGTGAACACTGAATAGTGGAGGATAGGTGTATAAATTATCCAATTGGTAAACCAGCAGGCTTTATTTGTGTTAGAAACATCTGGTCTGCTCAATTTTCTAAATACTTTCATTAGTCCCTGGCCTTATCTTAGAGTTAGGATAGCCTTATGCCTATCCCACGCATGCTTAAACTCCTTTACTGTGTTAACCTCTACCACTTCAGCTGGAAGGCTATTCCATGCATCCACTACCCTCTCAGTAAAGTAATACTTCCTGATATTATTTTAAACCTTTGTCCCTCTAATTTAAGACTATGTCCTCTTGTTGTGGTAGTCTTTCTTCTTTTAAATATAGTCTCCTCCTTTACTGTGTTGATTCCCTTTATGTATTTAAATGTTTCTATCATATCCCCCCGTCTCGTCTTTCCTCCAAGCTATACATGTTAAGCTCCTTTAACCTTTCCTGGTAAGTTTTATCTTGCAATCCATGAACCAGTTTAGTAGCCCTTCACTGAACTCTCTCTAACGTATCAATATCCTTCTGGAGATACGGTCTCCAGTACTGCGTACAATACTCCAAGTGAGGTCTCACCGGTGTTCTGTACAATGGCATGAGCACTTCCCTCTTTCTACTGCTAATGCCTCTCCCTATACAACCAAGCATTCTGCTAGCATTTCCTGCTGCTCTATTACATTGTCTGCCTACCTTTAAGTCATCATAAATAATCACCCCTAAATCCCTTTCCTCAGATGTTGAGGTTAGGACTCTATCAAATATTCTGTACTCTGCCCTTGGGTATGCATTTAAATGTTTCTATCATATCCCCCATCTCATCTTTCCATCAAGCTATACATGTTAAAATCCTTTAACCTTTCCAGTGGCAGGTGATGTGAAAAAAAGTATCCCAATTTGTATGATATTTCTATATGGTTTGTACATCTTGAGATTTTTGCGGTAAATGTTAACAGGGATGTCCAATCTTCATTAGAAATTGAACGGCCTAACTCCTTTTCCCATCCTGATTTAACAGAAATGTTCTCTAAATATATATTGAGGATATTAGGGATTGGTAACATACCGAAAGGGATTTATGCCCTTCAGCTGCATTTTTTAATAAATTAGAAAAAAAACAGCATCTGCCGCTGATCCTCTAGATAGCATTAAAGACGCCAGACAATGCCGAATCCTAAAATATTTATAAAAAAATCACGGTGTGGAATATTATATTGTAACTGTATAGAAGTAAAATGTACCGTCAAATCTTGGGTGAGAAACTCCTTCCCTGAGCCAGGACATTGAAAATGGGTCATGGATGCATATTCCAGCATGACAATGATCCAAAATACACAGCCAAGGTAACAAAGGAGTGGCTCAAGAAGAAGCACATTAAGGTCCTGGAGTGCCCTAGCCATTCTCCAGACCTTAATCCCATAGAAAATCTGTGGAGGGAGCTGAAGGTTCGAGTTGCCACACGTCAGCCTCAAAACCTTAATGACTTGGAGAAGATCTGCAAAGAGGAGTGGGACAAAATCCCTCCTGAAATGTGTGCAAACCTGGTGGCCAACTACAAGAAATGTCTGACCTCTGTGATTACCAAGAAGGGTTTTGCCACCAAGTACTAAGTCAAAGGGGTCAAATACTTCACTCATAATTTCACTCATTAACATGCAAATCAATTTATAACTCTTTTGAAATGCATTTTTCTGGATTTTTTTTGTTTTGTTATTTTGTCTCTCACTGTTAAAATACACCTACCATTAAAATTATGGACTGATCATTTCTTTGTCAGTGGGCAAACGTTCAAAATCGTCAGGGGATCAAATACTTTTTTTCCTCACTTTATATAATTCCTGAATTAGTCCATGAAGGAAATGGAAAGACGTATATAAATGCACACTTTTTCCTTTATCTGTCAATGTCCATGTCTCTGTCAATAGCAGTTGACCTTCAGGTTTGCTTTTGCCTATCACATGTATGCCAATGTCTCAGTTCCTGAATGTTTATACATAGGAATTACAATTTAGTCAGAATACAGGATTAGTATTGATTGATTTCTAATAATTCCAGACATCCGTATTGGTGTTGGGTTGCACACTATGTTATATTGTACTGATGATGATGTCTGAAGTTCTTCTTAATAGGATGTTTATTGACTGGAGCTCAGTAATTTGTGTCCATATGAAAAGTCAGGATCATCTCTGTCTTTCCATAGAAAGGACACAAATTAAATAAGCACAACGGGGCATTTCCTCAGATGGAATTCAGTTCAAATATAGAATTTTAATTCACCAAAAACTGTACTTTGCAGTAGTATTCACGTTCAAATAGAACATTGTTATTTCCATTGTATTTTCAGGAACTGAAATCAGTGATGGAAGAGACTGGGGACTTATCAGTGGTATTGAACATGGACAGTCGTTGTTACTTGAACCTGGAGGACATTGTGAAAGAGGTTAAAGAACGATATGAAAACATTGCAGCCCGCAGTCGAGAAGAGGCTCAAGCATTGTCTAAGAGGAAGGTACACATGCAATTCAAAATGTAATTTGGTACTGTGTAAATAGATTGATTCTTAAAGACTTAAACATTTATAAAATATAAAGAAATATATAAATACATTTTTGTGTAGACTTATTAGAGTATCAAAATGCCTTTCATTCTACTCATAACATTTTGAACGAACGTTCAGAAAATTATCTTCTCAAAGGTTTTATAAGGTACTAGACTTATTCATAGTCCAAAAAATTATATGGTTTTGTTTGTTTGAAATGTACAATCGATTCACCAAACTGAATTTCATCAATGCAATTTGGTTTGTCATCTTTAAAACAATTACACAATTCATACCAGAGACATACCAAGCTTTGTAAACTTTCTGTATAGTTCCACACCCCCGTGTTATCTTAACCCATGTTACTTCTTGTGTATCTCTCACCTGCTTATCTTTTAGGTATCTCTTAACCTTTTGTACCTCTTTACCCTCTTACCATTTTTTGCCCCCACAAGCATTCAAAGGCACATGGATACTGATATATATACATAGACATGCAATCACATACAAACATGGACACATGTATAGTCACATGCATAGACACACAAACGCACAGACACACAATCCTATACCATGACATTCTCAACATTATCACACATTTACACACACGGTCATGTGCATACCAAGTTTATTCAGTGAACTATGAATTGTAATGGTCTGGTGAATAAAAGTTCAGACTTCCATTCCATTTTGCAATTTGGATTTCAAAAATGAAATTAATCACACTTCTGAATTTGCAGCTTAGGGAGTTAACCCCAAACCCCCTAAGGTTTAGTGTATTTCTTAAAGTGAAATATATTTGCTTGCTTGCAATGCCTCCCCCGGGGGCTCTTGTTGTAAATCCTATTTCTGCAGCTCCAGCCTAGCCTCCTGTTCCAGGCTCCTTCCCGCTCCCCTTTTGCCTCTACATCTTATCTCCAGGCTCCAGTAACACCATGGCCACCACTTAGTATCCAGTTGATCTAATACTACAGCTCCCAAACTCCTTGCAAACCTTAAGGCACTGTGGTGCTTTTATAAGCCCTACAAGTGTTTGCATGGTTCAGAGAGTGTGTCTGCATGGCTCAGTGTGTCTACATATGTAATTGTGTCTTTGCATTGGTCAGTAAATGTGTGTGTGTGTGTGTGTGTGTGTGTCTGCATGGGCCAATGTGCTTGTTTGCATGGGCTAGACTG